ATATCATTCTAGAGACTAAGGTGCGCCTGATCCAGGACATGGTCTTCACAAATATTTGCTATGCGCCAGAGAGCTGGACAGTGACTAAGGAGTGCCCCATAGGGTTTCCAAGACAAATCTTTATAGAAGTTACACCTTTAGACTACAAGATACAGACTGCTACATCTTTCTTCGTCAGTGAGTTCAAATTGCTATTTTCTTGGTTAGCAAGTGTTTTCCCTAATGCTTGTGTTATTAGGGCTCATTTGTTGTAATGAAGGAAGTTATTTTCACATGGAGATTAAATCAGAGCTTTGAACTCGATCATTCTTGTTGACTTAATGCTGAGAATTTGCATTTCCACCTCAGCTACAGAATCAGAATCTAGTTAAGCTACACCTAGACACTTACTTGATCCTCAGAAACGGAAAATTCTTTTTTATGTTGGTGTTAGTCACTAGTTTTTGAGGCAGTTTGCTACACAAAAATCAAAAGGGAAGCACTCGTTCAGCATTTCTTATGCTGAAGAAACTGAAGAACAAATATAGGCCTTGAGCTGTAATCCTGAAAGATGTCATGGGCAAAATCTTGAATGATCCATGAACAGTCAAATGAAGATGGAAAGAAAACATGGAATTGCTACACCAGAAGAGAATTGGCTGGGCCTCCCTTTGTGTTTAAAGGAAGATGATCCATCCATGTGGGGATGTAACTTTCTAATAAATCTATCTTTTACTATTTTACCCTAAAAAATAAAATTGGATGACTTAGAACCATTTCAAGAAGTCACATATGATCAAGAACTAATGGTAATGAAGGAGGATGTTCAAGCTGATCTGAAGGAACTGGAAAAAAAAATAAATAAGGCCCCAGGAATTGATGGAATGCAAACTGATAAATTTCAATAAACAGATGCAGCCCTAGATGTGCTCACCAGATTGTGCCAAGAAATCTGGAGGACAGCTACCTGGCCAACTAACTTGCATAGATTCATCTTTATCCCCATTCCCCCCTCCCAAAAAAAGGTAATCCAACAGAATATGGAAATTATTGAACACATTAATATAATAATAATAACAACACACTACATCGACAGAGAACTACCAGAAATACAAGCTGAATTTGGAAGAGGCTGTGGCACTGGGAATATCACTGCTAATGTCAGGTGACACTTGCCTGGAAGAAGAGCACTAGAAGGAAGTCTATTTGTGTTTTATCGACTATGCAAAGATTTTTGACTATATGGATTAAAACAAATTGTGGCAAACATTGAAAAGAATGAGAACACTTGATTTTGCTTATGTGAAACCTATACCTAGATCAAGAAAGTGTCTAAACAGAGCAAGATAACATTGCATGGTTCAAAATCAAGAAAGGAGTCTATCAGGGTCATATCCTTTCTCCATACCTTTTCAACCTAACATACTGAACAGAGTGTTTAAGGGACTGGACTTTATGAAGAAGAATCTGGTATCAGGACTGGAGAAAGGCTCATCAACAACCTGCATTATGCAAACGATACACCCTTGCTTGCTGAAACTAAGGAGGACTTGAAGAGCTTGCTGCAAAAGATCAAGAACTCCAGCTTTCAATATGGATTATATCTCAACATTAAGAAGATAAAAATCTTTACCACCAGCCCAGTAGGCAGTACCATGATAGGGAGAGAAAAAACTGAAGTTGCTAATGATTTAATCTTTCTTAGACCCACAATCAAAGACCTTTGCATCAGCAGTCAGGAAGTCAAAAGATGAGTTAAGTTGGGAAAATCTGCTGTCAAGGACCTTTCCAGAGTCC